TAGCAAGACTATTTAAATAGAGGGTTGGATTGCTGATAGGACACGAGCAGAATCTCAAGGTGGCTTCAGTCAAACAGGATGTAATTCTGCTTTCTCCTCAGCCTAGAAAGAACAAGTGTAACTCACAGGTGGTAACAGCAACAGCAGAGTCTTCAAAACTCACTTGTTACATACTTCAGTTCCTAGATGAAATGAAAATGCAGTTCTGCTATGCACAACACCAACAGACATGAGTCCATCAACACATTTCCACTGAAAATCTCAAAATCTCCAAGTCTGATGACAYTGTTATTAGTCTCAACTTTTTGTGTGATTGAAAGTCTAACATAAGCTCATGGATGATACCTGCATCTCACTGGAGACATTTTAAAAAGCTGTAAACTTGCCAGATGTGTTGCATAACTTAAGATTTCAGAATAGCAATATTTCATTTTTCTTTTCCATCTCTTCTCACAGACTCCCATGAAGATTTTCTAAAGACTGATCTTTACACTTGGAATATTAGCATGTTATTATTTAATCACAAGTAAAACCAATCAGATGATTGGGCTTTGTTAAGAATTAATTTATCTGAATTTGAAAGAATTTAATTCTATTAATTAAATAAAATTACCCCTCTAYAGGTATAGATAATCCCAGATGGGTTTGGGGCTGGGAAAGGTTCATTACCTCGTGTATACACTGCAGAAAGGCAGTGAAACAGCCTCTAATACCATTTCAGGTCCAGCAGAGCTGCAGAACTGATTTGGTTCAGCAATTACCTTGAGCTAAGAAGTCTGCTAGACCTGAAATGGCTCCGTGCTGAGCTACTTTGGGTGCTTCTGATGCCAGTTCTCAGGTCTGGGAGCTGTAATTGCACRGTGGAAACGCATTCAGCCATACATTATCACCACCAGCCCTGGAAGCCTTCTTCATTCTGACACTGAGCTGTTAACGTGGTGCAGGGCTGACCAGACCTGCAACAACATTGAAGCTCCAGCAACTCTGCTCCAGCAGGGCCAAAGCTGAGCCAGGACTAATCCCCACGATGATTATACACAGCCCATCCTGGGCGTTCTCACAGCAACCACAGTATCCAACACTGACCTCAGCTATAGCACTGAGAAATTCAGATTTAATTAGGGCTAAGCAACCTTGCATTTTCTCCATCTCAGAGGATATTATAACACAATATACATGTAATATAATGTTAAAAAATAGAGTTCTTTTCCTGATTTTTTTTCCAAATTAAAAAGTGTGAAATTATTTCAATATTTTCTAATCTGAAGGAACACTTACATTTTTATCCACTGTTACTTCAGATTGTTACTTCATTTTTAAGCTGTTCAACATCAGCTTCCAATACCCCACTGCCTCCTYTCACCACACTAGAGTTGCAGTTTAAGCACCCAATATCCCATAAAATTGTTTCCATATGGCTCCATAATGCAGCGGAAAGGCTGTGAAAACTCTGTCCTCACACAGCTAAACATAAATATTAAATCTATGGACTCTGTTCACCTTGGGTTTTCTTATTCTGTTTTTTTTCTTGTTTCTTTTCTTCAGTATTTTCCTTTCCTTTTTGCTTAGTAAGTGAAGCAGAGGTAAAGCCAGGAAAAAAAAAAGAGCATGAACATTTAATTCTGCACTGCCAGCACTGTAGTGTTTTCCTATTGGTATGGATCTCACTGATATTCACATCTACATTTGCTATTCAATTAATAGTTACATAAATAGAATTTGCCAGTATAAGGCAGTTATAAGTAACAGGTAAGGTGAGAATATGGACATAAGACTGATAAAACCTGGATTTCTCAGGTTTGGCAGGGATGGGAATGCTTGACACGTATGTGTTTATGAAACACGTATGTGTTATTCTTTTCACAAGTCAGGTCCCAGGTAGAATATATTCAGTTATTCACTGGGACAAAACCCACTATATTCATTGTTTAATCAGTAACACAATTCTTACAACTAGTATTATTTTAAAGGATTAATTATAAATAAATAATGTGAATTAGTATTTAATTGTTTCAGTCTGAGTTTAATTTTTACCTATCAGTATGGGAAATCTCTTGGCACCTCTGGAGGCTCTATGAAAATTAATTTTTTTTGTTTAATTGTAAGTTGATTTTGCTGTAATCGTGGCAGCTTTAATTGGAATATTTTAATTAACTGCTTGAAGCAATTTGATGCYGGCTTCGTTGCCGAAGCTTAGCTTATCTAACAGCTTGGAGTGTCACGTTTGCTCAGCTGCAGCACTGATCATATAAACTGCTCTATAACCAATTGTAACTGCTGCTTCTACCTTGCTGATGACATACAAAAAACACTCCCCAAAACACGAGCAGATACATTCAGCTACACTTCTTAATCCACAGCAATAATCTGGGTTGCCTGGGCAGTAAAAAAAAGACTGCTAGTCCTTTTTAGTTAGGACTGTTCAAAGTAATTAGGAAGAAAAATAATATCTGTCCTATCTATTTCAAAACGTATCGTGGTCTGCTTCTCCATGGATTTACTTTCCGCATCCTGGCAGCCTTCCTAGGGAAACGAGGGACAGACAGGGGGATCAGGTTGCTCCCCAGCGCACAACCAGGCTAAAGCAAGACATCAACTTCTGCAGTGACGGCTCCTCCCTTCCCTTCCAGGGAGCAGATCTAAATTGAAAGCACCTGGAGGATTCATAAACAACAGGATCAAGTGCAGTAAGATTGAGGRGCAAGGTGTGGTGGCAGGAGGAAGCAGATTCCTTTCTGCAAATTACTTTCCATGTTTGAACACTTCGGAAATGATGTTGTCTGTCTTGGGCCACTCCTCATGGCGCTGACTAATAAAGAAATGGGATTCAGGCATACAGAGGGAAGAGATCAAAGCCAGTGGAATTTTATACTTCTYAAATGCTACTTATCCAAAAAATCTTAAGTTTTTTTAAGAGAATCACAGAATTGCTGGGGTTGGAGGAGACAACGGGGAAACACCTGGTCCAACAGCCCTGCTCAAGCAGGGTGACCTAGAGCACATTGCCCAGGCCCCTGCCCAGATTGCTTCTGAATATCTCCAAGCAAGAAGACTCCACAACCCCTCTGGACAACTTGTTCCAGTTCCAGTTCCTCTGTTCCAGTTTGGGCTTGTTGCCTCTTTTCCTAGCGCTGGCCACAATTGAAGATGGTCACCCATCCTCTGGACACCCTTAGTGTTCATATGGGTAAGATCCCCCTTTAGATGAACTTTGATGTTCAAGGGGTGCTTCACAGAAAGTCAATCACAGAAAACTCCCTTTAGGTGAACCTTGATGAAGGTTCACACACCCTCACAACATGGGCCAGAACAGCATTACAGCAACATTGATCACCTGCACCAAATCCATCTGCATACATCTGAATGGCTTTTTTTCAGAAACAGATTATAAAACAGTAATTTACCCCTTTATCACAGTGACAGGTATAAAAAACAAGCCATCCATAGTTTCAAACACTAAAAATAATGGAAAATGCCTCTGCAGTGTAACAAATGGGTTAAAAATATTTACACTTAATTGCAAGTCACACCATAAATAGTGCTTGCAYTTGGAAAACCACATGAGAAGCACAAGATGCAAAGGAATAAAAATGAAAGATATGGGAATACATGCCCAAATTAACAACATTTGTGGGCAAAAACTTTCCATGCACTGCAGAAACATGTTGTTATACAATATAATCCCTGCTTCTTTCTACTAAAGAGGGCACTCATTGATTAAACAATCTAAGATCAAACAACAGACACATACAAGTTTCCACCGTACCTGAGGATAAATTAATTAAATTATACAAGAACACAGTGATTCACACAACATATCTTGCCTCTGGCAAAAAACACTTAGAAAGAAAAAACAAGGACAAGCACTTAGTGCAATTACATAAAATGGACAGACAAAATGTCATTTTAGAAGACAAGTAATGTCAAGTAACTAGGTAGAAGGATCCTTCARTATGCAGGGGTGGAGCACTGCAGGGTGTTTCTTGCCCTACTTCACTCATATTCCTCTTCTGTACTGGCCAGAAGAATTAATTCTGACTCTCTCTGAAGGAGGAAGCCTGCCAACTAATCTCTCTTCTTTGGCCTCTAAGATTAACAGAAGAAATGTGTAGGTCTGGACTTCAAAATTTACCTTCCCCCATTTCCCTTTCTTCTCTCTACAGTACATAATAAAGCTGCTATGAAAACACACACTGTAGTGGCTTAAAAAAAAAAAAAAAAAAGGAAAA